GGCAGACGCTTAACCGACTGAGCCACCCAGTCGCCCCGTATCTGATTATTTCTTGATCTTTAAGGTCAAGAAAGGTTAAGCTCTTCTAGAAATTTCAACAGTTTTGATTTTAAAATATCATTTGTTAGTTTTACCTTTCTAGAACTTTGGGGATAAAAGGGACAATAAAGTTTCTGTTTTATTTGAAGATTCTACATAGATCCTTAAGTATAGAAATTGTAAGCTCCTCCTTTCAGGTAGAAAAAAACAAAATCCCGTTTGTTTTTTAAAATCAATTAAAGTATTATCCTTTTAGCAGAATAAAGCATTTGTCCCAATAAGAAAAAGTGTAAGAAAAGTCTATTACTGAAACATATTTAAAATTTTATCACTTGGGCAATAGAATGAATCCACTTGTAGGATGCCTGGGAGGCTTAGTTGGCTAAGTGTCTGCCTTTGGCTCAGGTCATGATCCCAGGGTTCTAGGATAGAGCCCCATGTCGGGCTCCCTGTGGAAGCCTGCTTCTCCCTCTCCCTCTGCAGCCCCCCACTGCTTATTCTCTCTCTCTCTCAAATAAATAAATAAAATCTTAAAAAAGAAAAAAAGAATGAATCTACTTGTAAATGTTTAAGTGAATCTTTAGGCGGGATTCTGAACTTTGCCCTTTCTTTACAGTTTTTCCTGGATTTTGATACTCATAGACAAAGGAAGTTTCAGTTACCTATTGGGCCTCAGGTAAAATTTCCCCAACCGTATTTTTGCATTTTAGATGGAATCCATCCTTGGCCTCACAGATGCTTCCCTGTAACTGATGTAATAAAGGTTTGCAGGTGTACTTGGGAGCCACCAGGTGGCCATCACGGGAAGTCCCAAACCCAAAGCTCTGCATGAGAGTTTTGATATAGTTATGATCTTTTTTCCTTCTGTAGAGGCAGATCATTGTATTCAAATAAATCCTTCTGGATTGATGAATCATATTAAGTAGCGCTCCCTATAATAACAATCGTGGGAAAATCAGTAAGGGCTGTTTGTTTTGCACAGTAGATGGCTAGGACATTTACTTTAGCTTCAAAAGTATTATTAGTATGTATTTGTAGTAGTATTTAAGCAGTACTTTTAATAGTATCTTAAAAATAATATTTTTTCAGGTGTTGTCTTGTCTCTAGTTAGTTATTAATTCATTTTCCATCTTTGATTCAAGGAAGTTAGAAGACCCATTTGCTTTCAAAACATGCCAAGATCTTGAACGATCCAAAGGCATATCTACTATCAGGGTATTTTGAATTCTTAAATCTTTAAAGGGATGGCATGTTCTTGTTAAGAGGCAGAGAGTTCTGAAGTTACAATTTATGCAGCACAGAACGTACTTTGATCATTTTTAAAATCAGAACCATGAAAAAATAATACATCAGCATTGGCCAAGGTAATATCAGTCAAGAGGGGGAATGCTAAGAGTCTGAAGAGCTAAAGTAAATGCCCTATGGGATTCACTTTTATTAAGAGGGGGAGTTATTAGATGGGTTTCCTTAGATTGGATTACTGAGGTTGGAATGGTACTTGACAATTACATGAGAAGTGGACAATGGAAAAATGTCACAGGCAAAATGCAGATAACTAAAAAAAAATGCAGGTAACTGTTGTGCATTGTTTTGAAGCAATTAGGTTTGAAGGACAAATTTGATGAGGGATCTTGGTATTATGATTTAAGCTGAGGCTATAGAATAATACAATCACCGTTGCTATCAAATATTGTCAGAGAGGTGATATTATGAATTTTATGTGGAAGTGGAGTAATTCATTCTAAGTAGGTTTTAACATTGTTTAAAATTCTTAAAAACAAATCTTTAAAAAAGATCTAATTATAACTCAGTGTAGTTGGGCATATGCATTTCTTAACGTTTTTACATTGTCAAATAATTAGTAACATAAGCTTATCGGAAGAACAAGACTAGTACATGATTTAGGAAGTTCAGATTAGTAAGACTTTCCACAAATAAATAAATCCAGGTCTTGCAAAAGCTAGAATATTAGCTACCATTATTTTTTTTCCTTGTTGAAAACAGAGAAAACATATTACTGTTTTTAAATCAAAATAGTCAAGTCAGTAGACCTATGGCATATGGAATTAAATATTTTTCTTTTCTTGAATTCTCCTATATTTATATGACAGATTATTAGTTTCTGGTTCTGTGCTCATGGATTGGAAGAACCAATCTTGTTAAAATGTCCATACTACCCAAAGCAATCTACAGATTTAATGTAATCCCCCTTAAAATACCAACAGCATTTTTCAGAGAACTAGAACAAATAATCCTAAAAATTGTATGGAACCACAAAAGATCCCAGATTTCAAGTTATACCACATAGCTGTAGTAATCAAAACAGTATGGTACTGTCAAAAGAATAGACACACAGATCAATGGAACAGGGTAGAGTCCAGACATAAACCCATGTTTATATGGTTGATTAATTTACGACACAGGAGGCAAGAATATACAATGGGGAAAAGGCAGTCTCTTGAACAAATGATGGTGGGAAAACTGAACAGCTACATGCAAAAAAATGAAACTGGACCACTTTCTTACACCATACACAAAAATAAACTCAAAATGGATGAAAGACCTAAATCTCAGACCTAAACCATAAAACTCCTACAAGAAAATATAGGCAGTAATTTCTCTGACATTGGCTGTAGAAACATTTTTCTTTTTTTTTCTTTTTTTAAAGATTTTTTATTTATTTGAAAGAGAGAGAGACAGCGAGAGAGGGAACACAAGCAGGGGGTGTGGGAGAGGGAGAAGCAGGCTTCCCGCCGAGCAGGGAGCCCGATGTGGGGCTCGATCCCAGGACTCTGGGATCATGACCTGAGCCGAAGGCAGTCGCTTAACCAACAGAGCCACACAGGCGGCCCTTTTTTTTTTTTTTTTTAAGATTTTATTTATTTATTTGAAAGAGAGAGAGACAGCGAGAGAGGGAACACAAGCAGGGGGTGTGGGAGAGGGAGAAGCAGGCTTCCCGCCGAGCAGGGAGCCCGATGTGGGGCTCAATCCCAGGACTCTGGGATCACAACTGGAGATGAAGGCAGATGCTCAATGACTGAGCCACCCAGGCGCCCGAAACATTTTTTTAGATATGTCTCCTCAGGCAAGGGAAACAAAAGCAAAATTAAACTATTAGGACTACACCACAATAACAAGCTTTTGCACAGTGAAGGAAACCATCATCAAAATGAAAAGACAACCTACCGAATGGGAGAAGATATTTGCAAACGATGTATCTATCCAATAAGGGGTTAATATCCAAAATATATAAAGAACTTATAAACTCAACACCAAAAAAATAAATAATCTGATTAAAAAATGGGGAGAGGTTCTATATAGACATACAAAGAAGACATACAAATGGGCAACAGACACATGAAAAGATGATCATCATCACTTATCCTCAAGTACATACAAATCAAAACCACGATGAGAGGGGCGCCTGGGTGGCTCCCCAGGTTAAGTGACTGACCCTTGGTTTCAGCTTAGGTCATGATCTCGAGGTTGTGGGATCCAGCCCTGTGTCGGGCTCTGCACTGAGCATGGAGTCTGCTTTAGATTCTCTCTCCCTCTCTCTGCCCTCCTCCTGTTTGTGCTCTCTCTCTCTCAAAGTAAAAGAAATAAATCAATCTTAAAAAAAAAAAAAAACTATAATGAGATATCACCTCCCACCTGTCAAAATGGCTAGAATCAAAAAGACAGGAGAAAACAAGCATTGGTGAGGATGTGGAGAAAAAGGAACCCTACTACACGATTGGTAGGAAGGCAAATTGGTGTAGCCACTGTGGAAAACAGTATGGTGGCTCAGTCGGTTGAGTGTCTGCCTTCAGCTTGGGTCATGATCCCGGAGTCCCACATTGGGCTCCCTGCTGGGTGGAGGGTTTCTGCTTCTCCCTCTCACTCTCCCTCTGTGCTCTCTCTCGCAGGAAGAAATAAAATCTTAAAAAAAAAAGAGAAACAGTATGGAGTTTCCTTAAAAAATAAGAAATAGAATTACCATATGATCCAGTAATTGCACTACTGGGTATTTACCCAGAGAAAATGAAAATACTTATTCAAAAAGATATATGCACTGCTATGTTTACTGCAGCATTTACAACAGCCAAGATATGGAAGCAATCCAAGTGTCCATCAATAGATGAATAGATAAAGATGTGGTGTATATACACCATGGAATATTACTCAGCCATAAAAAAGCATGAAATTTTGCCATTTGCAACAATATGGATGGACCTAAAGAGTATTATGCTAAGTGAAATAGGTCAGACAGAGAAAGACAAATACCATACTATTTCACTCACATGTGGAATTTATGAAACAAAACAAACAAACAAAAAAGAGACAAACAAAAAACCAGACATTTAAATACAGAGAACAAACTGATGGTTGCCAGAGGGGAAGTGGATGGGGGGATGGGTGAAATAGGTGATGGGGATTAAGAGGACACTTATCATAATGAATAATGCATAATGTATAGAATTGCTGAATCATTGTATTGTATACCTGAAGCTAATATAACATGGTATGTCAATTACACTTCAATAAAAAAATATAATTAGGGAGCGCCTGGGTGGCTCAGCTGTTAAGTGTCTGCCTTTGGCTCAGGTCGTGATCCCAGGGTCCTGGAATTGAGCCCCGCATCGGGCTCCCTGCTCAGCAGGAAGCCTGCTTCTCCCTCTGCCACTCCCCCTGCTTGTGTTCCCTCTCTCATAGAATCTCTCTCTGTCAAATAAATAAATAAATAAAATCTTTAAAAAAAAAAAGATAATTAGTTCCTATAAGTCAATCAAAATAGAGGCACCTTTAATTTTAAGGTGTTTTATAATGCAATCTATAAATTCTCTCTGGAGGTAGGCAAAGATATACCAATCCATTTGTTTAGAAATTATTTATACCCTGTATTCATTAGAGTTCTTCAGAGAAACAAACCATTGGGAGGTATACATATATAGAGAGACTTATTATAGGAATTGACTTACACTGTTAGGGAGGCTGTCAAGTCCAAATTTTCGGTGTGGGCCAGAAGGCTTGAGACCAGGAGAGTGGATGATGCAGATGAAGTCCAAAGAAAGTCTGCTGGTGAATTCCTTCTTGCTCAGGGAGGCTGGTCTTTTTGTTCTGTTCAGTTCTTCAACTGAGTGGGTGAGGGCTACCCACATTTCGGAGGGTAATCCAGATTTAAATGTTAATTTCATCCCCAAACACCCTGTAAATTGACACAAAATTAACCATCACATACCCATACATTGAAAATATCTTATCAAACTGTCAGGAAAGCTAGATAACTGTTAGAAGAATTTTTGAGATATGAGTTCCCTCATACCTTGACATTGCTCATTTGCATTTATTTCTATTGAACTTCCCTATTCCTTTTAGTGGAGAATGGAAGAAGAAAGAGCCTTGTACTCAGAACCTCTACAATTTCTTGGGATGTCATGAAACTCTGAAAAGTCAGAAGCAATCATTCCTACTTCCATCTGCATTCCAAAAACACACGTTCAGTATATTTATACAGTTGCTATCAATTAGAGTTTTTTTTTAAGATTTTATTCATTTATTTGACAGAGAGAGAGAGAGCGAGAGAGCACAAGCAGGCAGAGCAAGAGGGAGAAGCAGGCTCCCTGCTTAGCAGGGAGCAGGCTCCATCCCAGGACCTTGAGATTATGACCTGAGCCGAAGGCAGACGCTTAACCAGCTGAGCCACCCAGGCGCCCCTCAATTAGAGTTCTTTATTTTCCAAGTCATGAAAAAACAGTTTCAATTGTTTCTTTTTTCTTTGTATACATTTCCCTCCCCTTTGATAGAAAATATGCCTGTTTGAATTAGATATAAACTATGGTGTTCACAAATGACAAAAAAAATCTTGTGGCTAATTAATCTCCAATAATTAACAACCAAAAACCAAAACTATCTGATGGGACTTCTGGGATGCTGGTGTGAGTGAAAACAATTTGGAAAAAAAAAAAAAAGAATAAAATCAGAGGATTCACACATCCCAATTTCAGAACTTACTACAAAGCAACGACAGTGTGGTTGTGGCATAAAGAAAAACATACAGATCAATAAAGTGAGAGTCCAGAACAAACGCTTGTATTTATAGTTATCTGATTTTCAACAAGGGTACCAAGATAATTCAATGGGGGGAAAGAACAGGCTTTTCAGTAAAATGGTGCTGGAACAACTAGATATCCACATGCAAAAGAATGAAGTTGGGGGCGCCTGGGTGGCTCAGTTGGTTAAGC